TTTTTTGTGATTCCAAAAAGCGGTCTTTTTTCAGTAATTGGCTTAATTTTTGCCCGCAATTACGAGGCTACGATTGCATATATGTTATTCTTCTTGTATTACATGGAACATTCTTGTAAAGAATTACAGATGTAAATATGTCTGAGAAAGTCATTTATACACATACATCTGTATGTGTAATACCTCGTCAGTCGCCTTTGTCGATTACGTTTTTATTATTCACAGAGTTGTTCTCTGTACGCACGCGAGAGTCACAGTAAACTAAAGTTAACTCAAAAGTAAGTGAACAAAATATTCTTTTATTTATCAATTATTCTGCATAACTTCTTTTTTACAATGTCAATACTCTCTTTCACACTTTTGATATGAGGATGAGTTGGAGGTAATGCTCGTTGCCATATGTCCAGAGCCCGTTCATAATATGACAGTGCTTTCAAATAGTCTTTCATATTATAATACACATAAGCGATGTTGTTGTATGAAGTAGCCAATGAAGGATGATTTGAAGGAAGAGTTTTTTGACAAATTTCAAGGTCTTTCTCGTAAAATGAAAGTGCTTTGGAGTACTCGCCGATGTTATCATACACACTACCAATGTTGTTGTATGAAGTAGCCAATGAAGGATGATTTGAAGGAAGAGTTTTTTGTCGAATTTCAAGTGCTCTTCCGTGAGATGAAAGTGCTTTCGAGTACTCTCCCATGTTGTTATACACCAAACCGATGTTGTTGTATGAAGTAGCCAATGAAGGATGATTTGAAGGAAGAGTTTTTTGTTGGATTTGAACTGCTTTTTCATAAAATGAAAGTGCTTTCGAGTACTCTCGCATGTTGTTATACACCAAACCGATGTTGTTGTATGAAGTAGCCAATGAAGGATGATTTGAAGGAAGAGTTTTTTGTTCAATTTCAAGTCCTTGTTCGTAATATGAAAGTGCTTTCGAGTACTCTCCCATGTTGTCATACACAATACCGATGTTGCTGTATGAAGTAGCCAATGAAAGATGATTTGAAGGAAGAGTTTTTTGTTCAATTTCAAGTGCTTTTTCGTAAGATGTTAGTGCTTTCGAGTACTCTCCTATGTTGCTATACACATTACCAATGTTGTTGTATGAAGTAGCCAAAGAAGGATGATTTGAAGGAAGAGTTTTTTGATCAATTTCAAGTCCTTGCTCGTAATACCAAATAGCCTTTTCATAATCACCCTGGCTATTTTTGACACATCCCAACTGATTATAATAATGCGCCCTTTCACGCGCATCAGATGTCTGCTCGAGTAATACATTAGAAAGCTCTTCAGCTTTATTAAATTGACCAATTTTAAGCAATAAATTACCCAGTCTGTGCCATCCAGTACCGCCACCAGCTTCTTCTTGTATTATATCAGTAAGTAATCGTAATTGTTGATCATCATCCGATGTTAATTGTAATTCAACTTGATAAAGTTGATTATTATTGTCCATTTGTTTAATTGCATTCACTCGAAACACGGTGTGCATTGAGAAGAGAATTTCTTCTTCTGCCTTAAAATAACTCACCTCTTTGATGGAGGCAAATGGTATAGATTTCAAACAAGGATCAATGAACATTATAAAAAGAATGCCAACTTTATTGAGTTCTGTTGAAGCATCCTGAGCAAAACGGAAGGACACTTCTTTATCTGTACTAGTAGACAAAAAATTGTTGAATGACATAAGTCCACCTTTTGCTTTCTGAAGTTTTTTAAAGTCTGACTTTATAAGACCTTGTCCTCGATAAACTAAAAAAGGTTTTCGCCCATAACTACTGAGTTGTTGTTCATGCAGCTGTTGAATTTGTTGATGCAGATGACACATAAAAAAACCCATAGTAATAATTGCATCGGCGTCCAATGTTCTAAGAGCATCATTAAGCATATAATAGAGATTGGAGGGAAAAGTATACCACCAAATAGCTAATTGAGCACAATATTCTTTCTCAAAACGGTTAATATTAATTGAGGACACACAATCAAGACGTCGACAGTATGTAATAAACTGTTTGATAGCTTGTTCATTATATTCCATATCAAGGAGAAGTTCCTTGAATATCTGTGTATACATAAAAGTTGGTTCCAACTGATTTAAATTATCAGTTGAAGACATTTCATTTACCGTGAGAAAGCTTACTGGAATCGAATCTTGATTGAACTGCTTGATACCGGTTTGTAATGCCTGGCATAGATCATTGATGTTAGTATTAACGCTCTTCATTTTTTTCCATTTTTTTGTCCATACTCCATGTATGGTTTTAATATCATTGAAGATATAAACACCATGCAGCTGAGGAATATTATTGATGAGGGGCATTATTTGTTCAGACATAGTATCCTTGATAATAAGAAAAAACTTGATATCTTCTTCAGCATCTGTAAGAAAGTCGATACATGCATCTCGTTGCTTAAAGACATTGACATCACCAGTAATGGTTTCTATTTGTTCTAATGTATTTTGATAATTTTCGTTTGTTTGGTCGATGATATTATCCAACCATAGGAGAAGGTAGTTCTGTGCCATACGTTGTCGTGGTTGGCGAATATTTGATGATGATGCTACTTTGGATGATGCAGCAGCATTCTGATTTGATTCTGACCCGCTCATTTTGATCTTTTTGTGATTTAATTTGGATTCGCTCATATTAACCCTTTTGTTATTTGATTCTGATCCGCTCATTCTGGTCTTGTTGTAATTTGTTGTTGAATGTGAACTTGTCAGTAGACGTTCTTCTTTGAATAAAACGAAAGATCACCGTTCTTCTTTATATAAGTAGTAGATTGTTTTTTCTCGACTTTTCGGCGACTATGAATATTTGTGTGTTTTGTTGTCGCTCACGGACAAACTTCACCAAGTTACGTTGGAAAATAATATTGTGCAGAGCAAAAAAACAGATCAAAACAAACAAATTTGTTGGTAATGTTATTGAAAGAACGAATGAAACAGCAGCCAACAATCGAATTCATTTTATTGTTATTCTTTCCAACTTATTTTTACTTCTGTCTGCATCATTACTGCAGTTTGTCGATGTGCAGGCGATGCTTGTTTCATAGATTATAGGTAGAAAGAGAAATACAATTCTTTCATCAAATTAGTTTTTCTTTTATACTCTTTTTCAGACATCATATAAATGTTTGCTGAATGTATGAAATTTATGATGAAAAAAAAGGAAAGAAGCTTTGTGAATTTTTGTACATAGAACATGCTTTAAACATTATGCCAACAAATGAAAAAAAACCGTACGATTAATATTGATGAAAGTAAGATCTAAGAAACTTTTTTGTTCTCTGTTAAAACAAGCAAAGTGTTTCGTACACGATCATTGAAGAGTTTTATTAGAAATAGTTTTTACAAAGTACAAAAAATATTCAGAAATTTTTTTCATAATTTGAATACTAAATATTATTGTTCAATAAAAAAGGAATTATTTTGTATTTATAAAGGTGCAAATGACTATTTCAATTGTTGATAGTTATTGAAAAAAATGAATGTTCTAAAAAAAATAGGTGCTTAAGAATTATGTGCTTCGCATGAGAAAAGAGACTTTTTGAATGCTTTATCAAATAATATATTATTTAAAATTAGACAAAGCTTCTCTGTGAAGTATTCAGATGAAAGCTTGTTTTTGCATTAAAATAAATAATTTGTGAAATGATTTCTTTATCAAATTATGTGCTGTTTATTGTTTTTTGTATACCAGAACAGCTATTTCGAGACAACATAAATGGTTTTGTTGTAATAAATTGTGTATATATATGATGGTAGAAATCATCGAAAATTCCAAAAAAAAAATATATTAAAAACAGAATTTATACATTGTCCGTTTTTATCTAATAGATATTGATTTTAGTTAATGGAAAAAGAAGTTAACTAAATATAGCAATAATCTTGCAACAGTATATACATGCATGCATCACTACACTTATATTCATTACAAGTTATACTGCATGAAAATCTATGAAGAAAAAATGCTGTTAATAGTATTTTGAGAGAATTATGTGCAGTATACAAGTATTC